CCCGCTATTCACCCCCACCCTCGCCGAAGACGGCGGCTCCGGCGGCACAACGCCACGTCCCCGTTGTCCCAGAGCTGCTGCGGGCACCCCAGGATGGGAGCCGGCCCTGCTGCCCGTGCAAGGGGTGACACCCCTCGTTTGAGGGCTTAATGAGCTTTGGTCCCCAGCCTGGGACGTGCCTCCACTGCAGCTCCTGGGAGAGAGGATATAAAATGGGGGCAGAGAGGGGCGCAGGACTGGTATAAACTATGACAAGTTGTATTCAATGCCACCTTTTATTGTACACACTCGCCACCACTGACTTCCAGGCTCAGCCGAGCTTTGGGGAGGATTTTTGTGCGCCACAGCCACCTGGAGAGAGGCAGCACCTGGGAAAACCTGCCTGGCTGGATGCAGTCCCTTTGGAGACATCCCAGCGGTGGGTGAGCGAGGAGCAAAGCAGGGCACGGAAATCCCTGTGGTGCCCAGGGCTGGGACCCGGCTGTGCGCCGGGGCTGGTCCTGGTGAAGGCAAACCTCGCTGTTATCTTCTCCAATGATGCCGAGGTGCCAGCTGTTAAACCAAATCCTCCCGTGGCTGCTGCTTGCGCCATGGGTGCCAGGACCCAGGGGACGAGGCGCCACGCCTGTGCTCCCCCACAGTCACACCAATGCCACCCCATGGTCCCCTCTGCCCGTGCCCCCAGCAGCACCCTCCAGCCCCAGCCAGGTTTATCTCCTGCGCCCGAGGCGGGCCATCAGCTCAGCGTTGGCGGCCGCCTTGGCCTGCAGCTCCTTCTCTCTGGCCAGGTCGAGCAGTATTTTCAGTACGTGGGTGGGGACATCAAGTGACAGGGACACCTTTCGCACCTTTTTTCCGGGAGCGGGTCTCTTGGTGGCTGGGCTCATTGGCCACGGCAATGCTTTTCTTGCTGTCTCCTCTAGAAGCAACGAGCTGGCTTTGTCCAGATGAGACCCTTCCCCAGAGTCATGGTCGCTCGTCTTCATTTTGGGGAGACCTGGCAGCACCTTGTTAGTGCTGATGGTTTCCTGCTTTGTCAGTTTGCCTCCGTCCCCGGCTCGGGGGGCTGACGGGAGTCGCTCATGGCTCGGTCCCTTCCAGGCTCTTGCCGGTGCCCCGAGGACCACCAGGAAGGTGAGCAGTGTCCTGCAGCACAGTGTGGCCGGGAGCGCCTGCAGGGAGCACACAGCCAGCGCTGAGCATTGCCCCCCTGGCGCACGGCCACAGCCCCACCGTCCCCCGGGCAGGATGTGTCCCCAACAGGGTGTCACACGCAGAGCACACACCCCCCTCCACCGACACCAGGCTGGCCATGCCTGGGATGGATGGGGGGAGCTCACCTCCCTTTTGAGGACCCTTCAGTTTTCCACCCTGATTTTAAGCTTTTTGCATGGTGGGGGGAGATTTGGGGAGGCTGAAGGGGACATGGGAAACAAATCAGCTGGGTGTCCCCATCCTTTCCCACAGCTCCTGGTCAGACACCGAGAGTTCCCTCCATTTCATACCCTCCAGTCTTTTGCCACTTGGGGAAAGGGACGTTCCCACTCAGGGGGGTGACAGCGTAGGGACAGCAGCCACTCCCCAGCCCAAACCTGCCCTTTGGCCAGGGAAGCATGACGTGCCCTGGGGATTCAGGCGGGTTGTAGGGCTTTCCTCCTCCCACTCCTTCCCCTGAGGATGCCATCCCCCCATGGGGCTGCTGGGCTCTCTGGGACAAAAGCCACCCTGCCGGGAAGGACACAATCCACTTGGCCTAAAATAGACAGCGGGGTGGTGGCAGTGGGGTGACAACGGCACGAGTCCAGCCACGTGTGCTGAGTTGCGCTGAGCTTCAGCGTCTTCCTCCACCCCATCCCTCACCCCGGTCCCACGGAGGTCCCTGGGGGATGCAGAGTGCTGTGCTGTGGGGTGGGGGTCAGGGTGCTGTGCCGTGGGGTGGGGGTCACAGCAGGTGCGGGGGCACCGCCACACAAATCCTGCTGTATAGCTGCCTCTCCCCCAAATCAATCACCCAGTGGGGTTTGCCCAGCTGGAAGGAGGGCAGTGAAATGTGTCCAACCTCCTGCAACTCACCTCTGGGGTAAAACCCTTCGGAAAGTACCGGAGCGGGCAGCCAAAGGTGGTTTAACTCACTGGGAAGTAAGCAATGAAAAGCATCCAACCCCCCTGCAACCCATTTCCCAGCTAAAACCCTTCCGTAAAGCACCACTGAAGGGCGCAGCCTCACCATTTCCAGCAGGTCTTCGTCCCCACGATGTTCAGGCGATGCTCACAGGGTGCAGGAACCACCAGTTGGGGGTTTGTCCCACCCCCCGCCAAGCCCTGGCTCTTATCCTGCCCCCAGCTCCACCTCCGACCCGCAGAGGGGGTGATGGTGGCATGCGGGGGAGGGGGAGGGGGGGAAACGGACACACACGCAGACGACATGATGTTATTAATACATTTTGCTTAATAGCAGATGAAATCATCCCAGGCTGTGGGTGGGCGTTTGCCCCCTGAACTCCATCCTCTGCATTTGGAGGGGATTCCGGGAACCTGGGGCAGCTCAGGCTTAATTATTTGACATCTGACTTGCGTGATGGTTTTTCTCCATCTAATTGAGCTTTTCTGCTCCTGTCAGCCTTGGTTAATCACTTAAGGAAAGGAGAAAATGCACGTGCATATCACTGCTGGCCGGCATCCATGGCACTGGCAACATGAGTGCCAGACCCCCAGTGCTGTGCCACACAAAGCTCCCGCACATCTCCTGGTGCCGGTTTGGCGCTGGCGTCCTGATGGAGTCCCTGGCCCTGGCCAGCTGGGGGATGTGTCTGGGGACACGTCACCTCCCCCCGTGCCAACCCCAGAGTGCTGCTTGGGCCACTGGTTTGGAGCCAGCTGCATTGTTCAACCAGGACATCACTGGTTCGTAGCTCACCTTCACCCAGTCCAACTGGGATACCACTAGGTTGCAGCCCACCTGCACCAGTCCAGCCAGGGGACACCACTGGTCTGCAGCTCACCTTCATGCATTCCAACTAGGATGCCACTGGTTTGCAGCCCACCTTCACCCAGTCTAACTGGGATGCCGCTGGTTTGCAGCTCACCTTCACTCAGTCCAGCTGGAATGCCACTGGTTTGCAGCCCACTTTCACCCAGTCTAACTGGGATGCCACTGCTTTGCAGCTCACCTTCACTCAGTCCAACTGGAATGCCACTGGTTTGCAGCCCACCTGCACCAGTCCAGCCTGGCCCAGCCCCTACACCAGCTGCCTGCAGTGGGAAGCAGCCTGTAGGCATTGCTGTGGTGGGGTGAGCCCCATGCAGAAGGGTTTTGCCCCAGAGTTCACCCCTTAGGAGCTGTTAGAGCACCTGGGGGCTCTCAGGCCGGGCAGGCACCCACATGAGATGAGTTGGTGGGTGCTCAGCCCGGAGGGCTGGCCAGGGTGAGCGGCCAGGGTGCCCAGGGCTGGGGCTCACGCTGCTGGGGGTCTCACCCACCCCTGTGGCTTCAGGAAGACTCATCCCATGCCAACCTCCCCGGCAGCAGCAGGGAGAGGAAATAATGCCAGCTCTGTTCCTCCTCCCAGAGATGGCCAGGAACTCACCCCCTCCAGCTTGTCACAACAGCCAAAATTAGCCGTCGGCGCTGATTCACCCAGCACATCATGTAGCACCGCAGCGCCACGTGCTGACACGTCATGGCCTGGCGGGGGGGTCGTGGCCTGGCTTGCGTCAGCCGGGCATGCACTGGCCACGGGGATGGGGCACCGGGGTCCCTGGGGTGTGAGGATCCCCAGCCGGTGCTGTGGGCAGTGAGCAGCTGGGAAGGGCATCCCAGTTGGGGTGGGCAGGGGGCACGCTTGGCTCAAGAGCTGGTCCCAGACCCCACGGGCATCTCCTTTCCAAAATTGCTACACAGAGAGCAGCGGTACGTATGGGCGCCACAAAGCCCACCCAGCAGCCCCCTGGGCCCCGAGGCAGCGGGGGGGCACGTCCCCCCCCAGCCCTGAGGCTGGGGGGAGGCCGGGACTGCGGACCCCCGAGAGCCGACATTACTTTCACAAAGCCTTTGAGAGCGAGCGTAGGCGAGCAGGAACCCTCTCTAACGTAGCACCATCCTCAGGCTTTCCCCAAGGGGTTGGGATTAGACAGACGTGCTGCTGGCAGGCGTGCGAGCTGGAGGGTAGTGCACGGAGAAAGCCACTGCCCCCCCCAGGTCTTTGCCAAACCATCACCACCGCAAAAGGGGAACCGGGTCCCGGTTGTGGTTAAGGTGAAATTTATTCAGATGGAGCTGGTTGCAGGGTGGGGGGTGAGGGATGCCGTGAAGGAAGGCACTGCCTGGCCCAAGGATGCAGGCAGCCTCTCCCGGCAGAGAGCGGGGAGCGGGGGGAGGTTTTGGGGACCCATGGGGGATGCAGGGAAAGGGATGAAGGTGTTAGATGAGGGGAGGGGAGCCCAACCACACCAAGTCCCAGCTCTGCTCCCAGGCAGCTGGAGAGGGGGCATGGGGCCAAACGCCGTCCTGTCGGCAGCAAATAAGTTAAAAATCAAACTGGGAACAGCCCAGGAAACCTGCAGGTGGGAAAGGGGGTT